TTAATGGAGGGAATCGAGGGACAAACCTATACTATTGTCCTGATGATTGTAGCAGACATATACCAGGCCCTAGATCGTTGCAAGAAGGGGTTCAAACACTTTATGGGTTGTAACTTGCTACTACTGATTTGGTTGTTAGAACATCTTCAGAGGGGTCAATATCGCTAGGAGTTTCCACGGAGGCCATGGAACTATCACATCGCTTTCCACCATCCTGAAAGAATGACCTTTATCCCAGATAGATTTGCACAGCCAGAGAACGCTACCGAATGGGCACAGTTTTTCAACAATTTGACCGAGGACCAGGTTCACTGGATGTTCGAGTGGTTCCCTACAGATGAATTCATCATCAGATCCAGGGATGTTCCGCACTTGGTGTTGATTGGGTTAAGGGGAATATATCCATATGTCCCAATCAGGGTTATGAGACAAGCTGGTAAAAAACAAGTCATACCACGAGTCTCCAAAATGAGTCATTACAGAGCCGATTTTCAGGGTGACGCCATTCCATAGAAATGTGAGGCCCAACACATGTGGCATTTGAAGATTATCATGGAAAAGGATATCATCGAGTCGGATCGATATCATGCTGGTCATGTGTACTTCTACCCCCCATGGTTAGAAGATAACATAGCAGGAATATTCGAGCCAAGGGTTGGTCAAGGAAACAGGGTCATAGATGAAGTCGCTGAAGCACAAGTGAAGTATGAGAGGCTACGCAAAAGGGTCCTTGAATCCGAAGCCAAGCATCTGGAGCAACACAAGTTCGACATGAAATCAATCAGTGAGTGGAAAGAAATGGCTACAAGGTCGGCAGAAAGGTTGGAGTGCTTGGAGCAGGGTCTAATGGAACTAGAAGGGAAGATGAGGAAAAGGGTCGTAGATTGTCAGAATGCAGAAGGCAACGAAGGAGGGAATCTAGCAAGGGCATACCTGCTGCTGGCCATGCACGACCTGGGGAATCTAATCGATGGAGCCAAGAGGGCCAAATATGGGGAAGGTCCCTCCGGGACCAAGTAGATTGTTGAAACTTCAGACGGTCGGAGTACTCTGCCCAAAATGATTTGGTCCTACGATTGGAACAAAAAATATTGGAGTTGTAAGGAGAGCTTGAGCAGGTCCGCAACTTGGCAAACCTCTCCCTCACCCTAAACGTCCCAGACGTTAACCAACAAAATGCTCAAAACCCAGCACCTCCTCAAAACACACCAAACCAATGTCCACAAAATCCTCCCGCACCCCATCCATACGCAACTCCTCCCAAAAATCCTAATCCTCCACCAATACCCACTCCCCCTCAGCACCAATATCTTTCTACCCAATACCCACAAACCACTTACCATACTCCTCAGAATATCCCGCAACCTATCTCTGATTCGCAAAACTCAACTAACAATCACCACTACACTCCAACCCCTGGCACCCACCGAAACAATCCCATATACGTAGAAACCTTACCTCACTCTACTCAACCAACATCATTGATCATGCCCAAATATTTCTTATAAAAAGGACAAGCGGACGTTGCAAGTATAATCTGAGTATTTAGCCCAGAGTCGAATCCTCAGGAAATTAACCTACCAATTACTTTTGTTAGACTCACTAAATTCTTCGTAGTCAACTTCCCAAATATTTTGAATAACAATTGGTGATGTATTGACTAACAATAACTGAACGAAATTGAGTAAACTAACAACTAACTATGATTGAGTTGTAAGCAAATAAGAGAAGGATCTAAGGTTGTGATTTCCCCTATTGATGGAATCTCTTCCTGTTATGTTTCATATAGATTTGCATAATCATCTCTATCGATCATGAGCACTCTTACTACCGTAAATCTCTCCCGAGTAATTACGACAATTTACTAGACGCACTCTCTCGAGTTACGCTAGCTGGCTTTTATTACAGCTCACTTTAGATCACACCCAAGGCTTCGTTATCCTTAATCCCGCCTTTAAACCCTTGGTTATTGATCCCTCATATACTTTGGGAGTGGTGTTGTTCAACAATTACCTAAATATGCACTCTCTTCCGAGTAATACATACTAAATAGGCACATCTAATTGAGGATCCTATCAATTAACTACAACAAGAACGTAGTTGAACAAATAGAGATTAAACTAGGCAAACTATATTAACATAACACGAAGTTCATCCTTCAACAGGTTCCATCAAAACCCTAGACTAAATAATTAGCTACTCATAAACGTGTTCATCATATCATCAAAATTCATCATAAATGATAAATACAAAAGGAAGAAAGATAGAACTCGATGTCGAATTATCCTCCTTGTCTCTTTCTGCCTTCAACTCAATTGTAAAAACCTTGATAATGTCCCTTTGGGCGAGCTGGACCTCTTATAGGTTAAGTGGAATTACCCCCGATTTTCCAAGTTTACCCCTGAAATTATGTAATTCGAATTGGACTAGCGCGGCCGCGCTCGTGCCCGCGCTAATGGCCGCGCATATAGCATAGTATTCTATGAGGCCCCATAAAAATTTGGGCTCAAAACCTAGTAACTTGTTGTGTCGACTCCGAGTATGTGTTAGGAATGTGTAAAATTCTTCGCGGCGAGCCTGCGAGCCACGGTTCGGACCCTTGGTATTGATCTAAGCTTTTAAAAATCAAAGAATCAGTTTTCCAGAAAAATGCCATCCTGCGCCCAGAATGCGGTCGCAGATCTAGTATGCGGACCGCATTCCTGCCGCATAGTGAGTCTGTGGTTTGGTTAAAATTGAGGTCAAGATGCGATCCATTATGCGACTGCATAACTGATATGCGGACCGCATTTCCACCGCAGAGTAAGGCAGTGTGTCAGTCAAATTTGAGGTCAAAAATGCGGTGCATTATGCGACCGAAAACCATGAATGCGGACCGCATTTCAGCCGCATACCCCAGCAGTGGAATCAGGTTTTGGGACACTTTTTGCGGTCCATCATGCGGACCGCATTTCGTGTCTGCGATCGCAGAATGCGACCGCAGACCTGACTCGGCCCCTGATTTTCTAAAATTTACACTGACCCCTTTTTATAAAACACCCCCCAACCCCTCATTTTTAACGCCCTTCTGAACAAAAAACAAGAGAGAGGTAGGAGGGGTTCTTGAGAGAAAATTCATCTTCTTCAAAAAATTTCCTCAAACTATTTAGGCCAGGGAATTTCAAAGCAAGTGTCTTCATCCCCATTTCTACAGGTAAATCCCTACCCCATTTTCACCAACTTTCTAATGTAATTAAGAAGGGGGGGGGGAGGAGGTCCCATGCATTGATTCTTGATAATAAGGGTTTTAAACACTCATGCATGTCTCTTAGCACCTAAAATCTGATGAGAGGGATTGGGTAGAAGTAAGAATTGTACAAAGGAAATTGATAACCTAGATGTGTTCGGGTAGTGTTTGTAAAATTTGATTCTAAGAAGAATGTGTAATTTGTACACTAGATTGGCATTTCTAGGCTTTTGGTGAAGTTGGAAGTAGAAATAAAAAGGGAATTCGGCTCCAGGTATGTATGGCTAACATTGACCTTTGTAAAATCACCTTGTTTGGTGTACAAATATTTGGTATGTGATATCTTCATGGATTAATTGTGAAGTTAAACTCTTGTGAGCAGGACGTGTTTACTTATGCGAACTATTTGTGAATTCATGTGATTAATGTGCCTTGAAAGTTGTTGGTTGAGTCTTCCGCTATGATAGTGCAAGTAGATGCTAATAAACCAAGTTGTGATTGTGAATGTGTTATGTGGTAAAACTGTGGAACCAATTATGCCCCTCTTCGGAATGGGTTTCTTAGGGGCCTTCTCCGCAAAGCGGTCCTGAGCCTTGGCAGAGACGAACCTGCTGCTATCAAAGGGACGAGTAGGAGCTGACCCGCGCGCCCTAGACGATCCAGCTTGACCGCCGGAAGAAGCACCTGTAGTGCGGCATTTCCTAGATGGAGCCATAGTACCTTGAAAAGGAATAACATTAGCACAACCCAAAGAAAAAATGTGACTCAATACGGTTACTCAGACTTCACGTGTACAATTGGTCACAATTACTCATTTACGCTCACTGTGGCACTTAAACAAACACCTTGTGGGCATTATATACCCACACCCCAATTCAAACATGTTGTAACCCAATACCACCACAATTACCCCAAAATTACCTACTAAGTTAAGATACAATGCCACCAACATCACTACCCACAAACACTACACACACACTACAAATTTCTACTAAGTAAAGAAAAGAAAAAGCTACTACATAATTCAAAAAATAAAAACAAAAATCTGTAAAAAAAAAAAAAGAAAATTGGCAAAAAGAGAAACCTTACCTGTAGTGAGAGAGATGGTGAGAAGTGAAGAAGAGTAGGGGAGGGTTGGGCTTGAGCCTTGGGGAGTTTGGGAATGGAAAAGAGGGAATTTTTGAAGAAGAAGGGAATTAGGGTTGAGAATTTTTGAGCGTGGGGGATTTTGGGAGTGAAGAAGAGGGGAGTAATTAGAGTGGGGGGGGGGATAGTTAGGGGAAATAACACTTAAACAATTATACAAAATAAAAAAGACAAATAAAAAAAACAAGATGTTAAGTTAAACAGGCGGAACTAGCACGGTCGTAGCGTGGTACGAGCGCGGCCGCGCTAGTCAAAACAGTGTACTTGGCCATATGCGCAGTCGCGCTTCTAGCGCGGTCACTAGCGCGGTCATAGCGCTAGTGATGGAGATGTTGAGGCAGAATGTTTGCCCATATGCGCGGTGGGTAGCGCGAGCGCGCTCCTCGGCACGAAAATTTTCCATTTTTTCACCTGTTCTTTCCGCGTCCGATGGACTTATCACCTGCCCAAGCTCACCTGCATTGGTTAGTACTTCCCAAAAGCAAAATTAATAACTACTAACTATTATTGGGTTGCCTCCCAACCAGCGCCTTAGTTAATGTCGTGGCACGATAGTTACAACAAATCAATGGGTTGCCTCCCATGTAGCGCCTGATTTAACGTCGCGGCACGACGTAGATAAGTGCATTTAAGGCTCGCTCGACCTCTGAGGTTCAGTCAGATGGATCACTGACACTTCCTTTTGTTCATCCATGCCTACATATGGTTTCAATCTCTGCCCATTGACTCTAAATATATGAGAGTCTTTCTCTGAAGCAATTTCTATGGCAAGTTTACCCGGAAATAGCCTTAATCTTGAGTTATAAAGCAGCACCATGTCTCTGGGCTTGAAATTTCTCTCCACAATGTTCTTGTCGTGCAACCTCTTCATTCTCTCCTTATACAACCTCGTGCTCTCGAAATCAAGATATCGAAACTCGTCTAGCTCATGTAATTCTGTGACTCTAGTTGTTCCCGTAGTCTCAATATCCAGATTCAACTGTTTCATTGCCCACCAAGCTCTATGTTCTAGTTCCACTGGCAAGTGACAATTGGTGTTTTGAAAGCATTTCTGTAGGCCCAGATTGCATCATCTAGCTTTTTCGCCCAATCAGTTCTTGTGGCATTCACAGTCTTGGTCAGTACACTCTTTATCTCTCTATTCGACACTTCGACCTGTCCACTGGTCTGAGGATGATATGGTGTTGCCACCTTGTGGCGCACATCTTACTTTGCTAGCAATTTCTCGAAGGCTCGATTGCAAATGTGAGTGCCTCCGTAACTGATAATAGCTCTCGGGGTCCCGAAACGGGTGAATATATTCTTCATCAAAAACCCCACCACCACTCTTGCATCATTGGTGGGAAATGCTGCAGCTTCTACCCATTTGGACACGTAATCTACAGCAACAAGTATGTATTTATTTCCAAAAGAGCTGATGAAGGGGCCCATGAAGTCTATCCCCCATACATCGAACACTTCAACCTCTCGAATTGGGTTCATGGGCATCTCATGGAGACGGGAAATGTTCCTAGTTCGCTGACATTCATCACAGCCCTTCACCCATTGATGTGCATCCTTAAAGACTGTTGGCCAGTAGAAACCAGCTTCTAGCACCTTTGCTGCCGTCCTGACTCCTCCAAGATGCCCGCCATATGCCGATGCGTGACATGCCTCCAAAACAGAAGATTGTTCTATCTCGGGGACACACCTCCGGATCATATTATCAACACATATTATAAACACATAAGGTTCATCCCAGTAATACATGCGACAGTCACGATAAAACTTTTTCTTTTGCACAGAGGAAAGGTCATAGGGAACTATACCGCTTGCCACGTAATTTGCAAAGTCTGCATACCATGGCACTTCCTCAAGGCTTGTGGCTAGTAGATGCTCGTCTGGAAAGGTTTCCAGAATATCCTCTACGTCAACTGCTTTTTCAGCTCCTTCAAGTCGCGATAGATGATGAGCGACTTGGTTTTCTGTGCCCTTACGGTCACAAATCTCCAGGTCGAACTCTTGTAGTAACATCACCCAACGAATTAGGCGTAGTTTGGACTCCTTCTTCTCAATCAAGTACCTGCGAGCTGCATGATCAGTATATACAATTACCTTAGAGCCGATCAGGTATGATCTGAACTTGTCGAATGCAAACACCACCACCAACATCTCTTTTTCAGTCACAGTGTAGTTCAGCTGAGCTCCACTCAACGTTCTACTGGCATAGTAAATTGGGTACATTAGCTTGTCTTTCCGTTGTACCAGCACTTCCCCCAATGCATAGTCACTAGCGTCACACATGAGTTCGAATGGTTGCTCCCAGTCGGGGGAACAATGATGGGTGTTGTGACTAGCCTCTTTTTCAACTCCTCGAATGCTACCCTGCAATCATCAGAAAACAAGAAAGGGTGATCTTTTTCTAACAACTTACAGAGAGAGTTGGAAATTTTGGAGAAGTCTTTTATGAATCTTCGGTAGAAACCGGCATGCCCGAGGAAGCTCCTGATTGCCTTGACTGAAGTGGGGGGTGGCAGCTTTGCTATCACGTCAACTTTAGCACGATCCACCTCGATTCCCTTTCTTTATACCCAGTGTCCCAAGAGTATGCCCTCTTGTACCATGAAATGGCACTTTTCCCAATTAAGTACCAGGTTAGTCTCAATACATCTTTTCAATACTCGGGTCAGATTTATAAGACACTCGTCGAATGAGTTTCCCACCACTGAGAAATCATCCATGAACACCTCTATTATGTCTTCGACCATGTCAGTGAATATGGCCATCATGCACCTTTGGAATGTGGCGGGTGCATTGCATAGGCCAAAGGGCATCCTCCGAAAAGCATAAATGCCATATGGGCATGTGAAGGAGGTCTTCTCTCTGTCCTCTGGTGCAATGGATATTTGATTGTACCCTGAGTAACCATCCAGAAAACAGAAGTGGGACCTCCCTGCCAATCTGTCAAGCATCTGATCAATGAAGGGAAGTGTGAAGTGGTCTTTCCGGGTGGCCAGATTTAATTTCCTATAGTCCATACAAATTCTCCAGCCTGTGATGGTCCTTGTAGATATCAGCTCATTGTTATCATTTTTGACCACCGTCATGCCACCCTTCTTAGGAACACATTGCACTGGGCTAACCCAGTTGCTGACAGAGATGGGGAAAATGATTCCCGCATCCAACCACTTAATCACCTCTTTCTTCACCACTTCTTTCATGTTGGGGTTCAGCCTTCTTTGGTGCTCCCTGGAAGGTTTGTGCCCCTCTTCCATCAGAATTTTATGCATGCAATATGCCTGGCTGATCCCTTTAATGTCTGCCATGGTCCACCCAATGGCAGTCTTGCACTCCTTGAGTACCTGCAAAAGCTGTTGTGCTCGCACATCTAACAAACTAGATGAGATAATAACAGGTAATGTGGAGTTAGGTCCAAGGAACTCATACCTGAGATGGGCGGGCAGTGGCTTCAACTCCAGCTTTGGTGGTTCTTCTATGGATGGCTTAGCTGGAGGAGTTTCTCTGTTTTCTAAGTGCAGGGGCTCGAACTCAAGTGTTCAATCCCAAAACCCTTTGCCCTCTAAAGCCAGCACCCATTCTGCCGATTCTTCCCCATTCACCTCATCTAAATTTACCAGACATGTAGCAAGAGGGTCCTCAATAGTCAACGTCTCATCATCTGCTTCTACGATTACATCCACGGCATCAATAAGAGAACAATTGGCAAATTCACTTGGTCGCCTCATAGATTTCTGCACATTGAATGTTATCTCCTCATGTGGCCAAGAACGGCCTTCCCAAAATTATGGGAATTTCTTCATCCACCTTGCAATCTAGAATCACAAAATCTGCAGGGAACACAAATTTCCCTACCTGAATCAACACATCATCCAAGATACCAGAGGGTCCTTTCACTGTTCGGTCAGCCAACTGCAATAACATAGACGTGGGTCTAGCTCTTCCAATCGCCAACCTCTTATAGATCGCCAGGGGCATAAGATTTATGCTATCCCCCAAATCACAAAGTGCCTTGGAAAAAGCAAAGTTACCAATGGTGCAGGGAATTGTGAAACTCCCTGGGTCAGACAACTTCTCAGCAACTGGTCTAGTCACCACAACACTGCAGGTCTGAGTTAGAGTCACTGTGGCCAAGTCTTGGAAATCGAATTTTTGTGACATTAAGTCCTTCATCATTTTTGCATAACCAGACATCTCCTTCAAAGCATCAATCAATGGAATATTTACCTGGATTTATTTCAGCATCTCCAAAAATTTCTTGTATTGTTATTCTTTCTGGTATTTGGCCAGCCTTTGTGGGAATGGTGCTGGAGGTCTCTTCTTCCCAATGATTTGGGTTTTCTCTTTGTCAGATACCACCTCAACTACCGGTTCCTGGCTACCTCAGCTTCTTTCTCAGCCTCAATCTATGTGTTGGGTTCTTCCTGGGCAGACTGTACTGTCACCTCTGTCAGTTTCGTTGAATCATCTAGCTTAATGGGCACTGGTACAAGTGTCTCAGCCTGTCTACTTTCTCGATCCCTCTCTTGATCCAAGTCTAAGTCTCTACCATTATGTAGACTCACTGCCATCAGCTGCTTCGGGCCCTGATCTTTTGGATTTACCTGCGTGTCTGCAGGCAATGTCCCATGAGGACGATTATTCAAAGACATCAAAATTTGGCCCATCTGCACTTCAATATTCTTTATAGCTGACTCATGTGCATGTAGCCTTTCACTCATTTTTGCATTTGACCCAATAACCTGCTGCATCATTGCATCGAGTCTAGCAAACCCATCTTCCTATCTCCCACCGTGCTGCTGCTGAGGAGGATGATAACCCTGCTGCTGATTTTGATTATTGTATCCCTGTAGCCTTTGGTAAGGCGCCATATTATTGTGAGGTCGCATACCTCCCATATTTCCTTTGTTGAGATGTGGCTGGACTGGCCTATAAGGCTGATTCTGACCACCCTGTCTCTGGCCCCCATAGTTAGCCACATAATTCATGTCCTCAAGGTAATGATGATGATCACTTTCTGCATTCCATTGGTTACCAATTGGCTGACTAATGCAAGATGTGCATAAGCCCCCATTGGTAGTATCTACAATATGTACCTGCTGCTTCTGCCCTGTCTCTTCCACCTTTTTGGTGAGTATACTCATTAATGTGGCCATATTTTTAGCAAGAGTATTGGATGGATCTAAGGGCACTGAGTGAACTACTAGAGTGATAGGTGCGTTTCTAGTCGTCCACCCCGAATTTTGTGCCATCTTGTCAAGCAGGACCTGGCTTTCTCTCCATGTTTTGCTAAAAAATGCTCCACCAGCTGTAGCACCAACATTAGCTTTCACACCATCTGTCAAACCCATGTAAAATTACTGCCCCAACATCTGCTCTGGAATACCATGGTGCGGACATATAACCAACATTCCATTGAATCGTTCCCATGTTTCTTGCAGAGTTTCCATTGGTTTCTGTTTGAAGCTCAAAATTTCATCAATTTGCTGAGCAGTCTTGTTGGGTGGATGGACTTATTCACAAATTGCTTGACTAACTCCTCCCAAGTCGTGATGGAGTTTAGCCAAGTCTGGGCAGCTCGTGTCACTGACAATGGAAACAACAACAGCTTTATTGCTTCCTGAGTTACGTTGGGCTGCCTTTGAGTTTTGCAAATTGACAGGAAATTCTTCAAGTGCTGTTGAGGTTCTTCAATGTATAACCCCGAAATTAGTCCCTTATTTTACAACAAGTGCAACATGTTGTTTGATTCGGCCTGTATCTGCAGGACTAATATCGCTGTGGCCAAATTCTCAGTTGTGGGCTGCGCCCAGTCATATAAAGGAGCCTCTGGCACAAGAGGTGCCACTACCTGCGCAGCCGGATCTACCACGTTATCCCCCATGTCTGGTTCGAGTTGTTCAATTGATTGTTGTTATTTGCTTTTTTGGTTGGCCCGGTTCAATCCCTTGAATACTTTCTCGGGATCTGATAATGCTTCAAATACTTCAC